TTCCTCGACATCACGCCGCCCCCTGACTCCGCCGAGGCGCGAGCACGACTGCGATGGCGCCCGTGGCCGCAGCAGGGGTGCCGTGCGCGAGTGCCGCAATGTCTACACTTGGTGGTGTCGCGGACTCCAGCACTACCAACACGATGCGTGCCGTTATTGGTCGCGCCACCTGTCCCAATGAATCTACGTTGACGAGCGCGACGACGAGTGCATCTGGCCATGGGGCAACTACCGTATTATCACCATCAGTTGGTTCAATGACTACGCGTGTCGTGTCTGGGATGAGCGTTTCTATGATAACTGGACGTGTTTATTGGTTGACACATTTCACTGCGCATCTTGGTATACATACATTTCAGCACCGCAGGTTCTGGATATCAATTTGATAGCATTGTGTGTCTTATTCACGAGTATATTGACACGTCCTGACATTGGCAACGTTCAGTTGGGTATAGTTGATTTCGCACTGTATAGTGTTCTTGATGTTGATTCACATGACGTGATCTGGCAATCGGACCTACACGCGCCCAGGCAGGTCGTACGCCAGTAGTCCCATACAGTCAAAGATTTAATTCTTATTTTCATGGGACGGCGTCAGAGGACGACCGATGCAACGCATTATCCACGAGTTTTCTTTTTCATTTTCTTTCTCAGTGACTATTGGGGCCTGGAGTGCCTCGCACCATGCGTGATTCTTCCTCGGATATCAGTTGTCGTTACAACTATCCTGATGCTTACCAGAATTGAGCCTGGAGTGCCCTGGCAATATTGTGGGCCTGGGGAGCCCGTGAATCATATATATATATATATATATCTCTATATATATATTCACTTTGATCGAGTTGTCGTCACAACTCCGATCCAGTATACTTGGCGTGCGAGCCGTGGCTGTGGAGATACCTGCAGCGAGGGATGCTTGTGCCGCGTCTTCTCTCTCTCTCTCTCTCTTTATCCCTTGCTCTCCCATCCCTGTCACCTGTGGTGACGGAGTATCGTCCAGGAGTGCCGAAGCGTTTTTTGGGGGCGCACCCTGGGCCCGCGAAGTCGGGTAGATACTCCTGATTACCCTGTGTGGCGGGGTTGGTTCTCTTCCTCACCTTCCTAGTCAATGCGCCCTCGTTTGGATGGTGCGGAGGATGAAACGGGACTGTGAGTGGACCTCGCACCTCCGTTCCCGGTCCCTGCCGTTGTCTCCCGTGGGCCCGAGGCCTTCGGGAGCTGGCTGGTTTCGGGGCGGTGTGTGTGTGTGTGTGTGCGTGTGTGCGTGAAGTCCGCTCACTTCCCCATTGCATCCTTTCCGCAACTGTATTGGCTCAGGTGCACTGCGCGCTGCACAGTGCCTTGGAAAAAGGAGTCGCCCTCCTTGCCTCTTCCTACGGACCCCGTGCAGGAACGGCCCCTCGGCCGTCTCCTTATGCTCGCAAGCGCTGCCCATGCCCTTGCCCTTCTGGTAGAGTCCCTGGCTCTGCTTGATGTCCTTCGCGATAGCCCTTGCCTGTGCCAGAGTCCTCTTCTGATTCTTGACGTCCTTCTTGGCGTTCGCGATCATCGTTAGCGCCCCCTCGGTCTCTGCGCGCTCGTCCTCGTCTAAGCCGTCGACGCCAATCTCGTCGTCATTTTCCTCGAAACCGCCGAACGCCTCCTGGTCATCCTCCTCGCGTGCCTCCATCTCATCTTCTTCACTGAAGATTCCGAGCACTCGACCCTTGCCAGGCTTATGTGGGTACATCTGGCTCTTTCTGTTGGTGGCGTCGTGCTCCTTCAGGTCGACGTCGGCCCACTGGTCCCGCAGAGCGGACTCGATGTCCTGGAGTTTCAGCGGATTCTTGGCCGACGAGCGCACCCCAGCACGCTCCTGAGCGTTGAGTTCAGCTCGCTGAAGCAGTAACCATGATGCCATGACCGATGGGATGAGCGTCTTACGCAGCTCGGAGGCCACCCCCTTCACTGTTTGATGTCCACGTCGTAGTCCTCGAGGTCGAATGTCGCCATCAGCGATCAGAGCGCCTCCGTTGCGTCTTCCTTCAGCGTCACCTTCTTGTGTGCCTTCAGCGGTGTCTCCGTCTTGGCTCGTGGCCGTTCACATCCTTTGGATCTTGATGGGGAGCTTGGCCACCAGCTGTCGCCGTACCACCAGTTTCCCTTCCAGTGGTGTCCACCGTCGTCCTTCCAGCTCTTGGTTTCTTTGTTGTCTCCGTCTCCCAATTTAAATCAAACCGATTCCGTTGCCAGTGACGCTGGTCGTTCTTCGAGCCGCGCCCTTCTTCTTCAGCTGGATCTCGTGGCTGTTTTCCACGCTTCGCCTGTGAAGGCTGCCACCAGACGAGCTCCAGCCACATGTTTGTCTTTATGAAAGAGACCAGCCACGTACCACTTCACACGCTCCTTATACTCATGAGGCTGGGCGACATCACCGTCCCGCGTGGGAACCTTCTTGCTATCGTCTCTGCTATCTGCCATGGTGCCGCTGGCTAGTTGCAGTGTTACAGCCAACCAGCCCCGCTATTAATACAGGTTTGCAGACAGGCGTGACGAAATGGACCTCGATGATATACCAATCTGAAGCTCGGGGCCCGTGGATCGATTGTCCTTCTTTTCCTGCACGCGGGGCGAGGCTAGGTCAGTCACTCATCGCCACGGGCCGGCACGCACAGCACGTCTCCAGAGAGTCACGTATGAAATAATATGTTATTCTTCTCTCTCGTAGATAAGTTCTTCACGCTTCGCGTACCCCCACCAGACTTCGCTCGTAGCCCGCTTGCTGCGACCTTTGACGGCGTCTGGCGTCTCCCGGTGCGCTCGCGATCAAAGAAGTATCCCACCAGCCCATTCAGAAGCCCTGCCCATGACTGACGGGAATAGGGACGAAGAGACACATCTAGGGAAACAAAGCGAGCAACCATGGTGAACCGAAAGATCTCTGGAAGCAAGGGGGTGGCCATGGAAGGCCTCTTCGGGCTATCCCTGGGGGCCTCGTGGGGGCGCGGGGAAGAGGAGGAGGAGGAGGAGGAGGAGGAGGAGGAGGAGGAGGAGGAGGAGGAGGAGGAGGAGGATGACGAGGAGGACGAGGACGCGGATGAGGACGAGGACGAGGAGAACGAGGACTAGGATGAGGACGACGCGGACGAGGACTCACGGAACCATCTAGAGATATTCTTGCGGCTCTGGAGTTTCGGGGGCCCTCTTGGAACCCTCTTGGGTTCATCTTGGAGGCTATCGATTACAGGATGGGGGGGGTCCCCAACTCAGCCCCCCCCTCAGGAGCCCGCAAACCGCTTCTTGGGGCTCTCTTGGAACGCTCTTAGGCGCTCTTGGAGCGGTCTTGGGGCCGTTTGGAGCATCTTGGGAGCCATCTTGAGCCAGCTTGGGCTAGCTGAGCCATCTTGGAGGTCATCTCGGGCTCTCTGAGGCCGCTCAGGGGCCTCTTGGGGCCGTCTTGGGGCCCTCTTGGAACCCTCTTGGGGCCCAAGAGGGGCTGTCTTGGGGCCCTCTTGGGACCCTCTTGGGGCCCAAGAGGGGCTGTCTTGGGGCTCTCTTGGGAGCCCTGGAACGCCTCTTGGAGCCGTCTTGGAGACCATCGATCAAAGGAGGGGGGGTCCCAGATTTGCCTCCCCCCCTCGGGGGCCACGATCCTCGTGAGGGGTATCAAAAATTTGCCCTCCCAGGGGCCGAAAAAGGACCCTCTGCCACCTCGCGGGGCGCCCCGTCCAGGTCCAGGAGATGAGGTAGGGGGAGGGGTAAACCCCTCCCCGAAGGGGAAGAAGGGGTTGCGGAAGAGAAAAGGAAGACATTGTAAGACCACCTGTCGCCCAGAGGGCTGGTGGGATTTGTTTGAACTCTCTGGAGTTCGAAGGGTTAGGGCATCGCCCAACAGACGGCTCAAGGGGCCCCTGGAGCCACAATGCTTACGGACAGCAGCAATTGAAACGGAGAACGTTTCGCCAGAAACGCGCTTCGCACAGCTGGGTCTATAGGAAGGAGGGGGGAGGGGAGGGAAGGATGCAAGGCGAGCCACGACAGACCCCCCCGCCCTCGCCCCGCAGGTCCCGCGCCGCCGCCCTACGGCATCTCCCGCCCAGCGGCTCCACCGTCAGCCCTCGACCACAGCCTCCTGGGCCCCCTGCCGCCGCCGAGATCCCTCGCCCGCACGGGCCCCCCCCCGCCCGCCTACGGGCTCGCACGCCCGGGCTCGGCCCCGCCCGCGCCAGACCTCGTGCAAATGGGGCCCCCGCTGCCGCCGCAGTCGCCCGCACGCCTTGGCGCGGCGCCCCTGGCCTACGGCTTCTCCCGGCCAGGGCCAGTACCGCCCGCGCCAGACCTCGTGAGCCCAGGTGCCCCGCCCGCGCCTCGCGGCCCGGCGCGCTCTGGGACGACGCCGGCCGCCTGCGGGGCGGCACGCCCGGGCGCACCGGTGCCCGCCACGGACCTCGGCCTCCCTGGCCCGCTGCCGCCGCCTCGCAGCAGCGCGCGCACGGGGCCTCCGCCGCCCGCGTACGGTGTCGCCCGCCTCGGGCCTGCCCTACCCTGCTTGGACTTCGCGAGCACAGGCAGCACCACGCTGCTGCGCGGCCCCATGCGCCCTGGGCCGCCGCCACCGGCATTCGGCACGAGCCGCTCGGGGGCTCTCGGGGCTACATCCGCACCCACGCAACGCCCGCGCGCTCTTCCCCTTTTTGCTCCCCGCCTTCCTGGTGAGCGACGCGGGAAAACGGGTTCGATTGCGCCGACATTGGCTTGTAAGCTGCCCGCGTAAGAGGGCGCGCAAGCGCCCTCGTCTCCAATGTAGCGTGCCGCGCTGGCGGCCCGCGTAAGCCGCGGCGTAAGGTCGCTATACCATCTCGCGTATGACCCCTTTCTTTTCGTCGCTCAGGTGGGGGATGGGATGAGGGGTGAGGGGGGCCGGGGGGAGGTGGAGGGGGGAGGAACGCCGAGCATGGAGGGAGGGCGAGGCAGGCAGCGAAGGCAGGCGTGGGCGCAGGCGCCTTCTGGCCTCCCCGCAGGCTCCGCCCTCCGCCCTGGACCTCGCGCACACAGGCCTGCCCGCGCCGCCGCAAGGGCCCGTGCGCGTTGGCCCCCCGTCGCCCGTGTCTGGCACGACTCGCCCCGAGCCGCCGCCGCCAGCGCTGGACTCCGTCCACGCTGGTCCCACGCCCCCCCCGCGCGGCCTCTCGCGCCTCGGCGCAGCCCCGCCAGCGTACGGCTCGGGGCGCCTGGGCCCCGCCATGCCCACACCCGACCCCGTGCAGGTGGGCGCGGCGCTTCCGCCGAGGTTCGGGGGCCGCAGCAATGCGACGGGTACTCTCGACCAAAAGCAGTCCAGCGAACGGCTTCCCCAGGATCGGCTCATTTTTGTTTTGTGGCCGTTTCCTCATCTGCTGCCCAGTCTGTTCCCCGTGGTTGTTCTTTGAAGCATGTTGCTGCCTTCTCGGAGAGGCGTAGAAGGCACCCACTCACCACCACCATGACTGGTCAGGCACCATCCTGAACCCCCAGGGTGGTACACAGGCCCTCCCGGCCAGCGTCGGCAAGGATGGCGCGTGCACCACGCCAGGGCCCAGGATGGCCCTGGCTTGCTGCAGTGGTTGGTGTACCCAGACATCCGATGCTTTGGCTTTTTCGATGCGGGGTCCCCGGAAGGCCCGACCCTTTCCCCAGGACTGTTTTTTCATCCCGAGTCGATTTCTGATGGTCCCAGGGCCCGGCGAGGGCCCCCAGAGGCCGAACACGGCCAAAAACCCCCTGTCGCCGTTTTTTTTTTTTTTTTTTTTGTTTTTTGAACGACGCGAACCTGTCCGGGTAACGGTGCCTTCCGCGCGCGAGAGGTCCACGGCGCGGCTGGGCCCGCCGCCTCCCGCCTACGGCATCACCCGGCCGGGCTCGTGGCTGCCGGCCCTG